GGGGGGGGGGGGGGGGGCGGGGAATTGGGAATAACTGGTTATAAGTATGTGTGGAGTTTCTATCTGTGGTGACAAAAATGTTCTCAAATTGATTGTGGTGATAGATACACAACTCTGTGAATAAACTATAAAACATTAAATTGTGTACCTTTTTGTTGTTGTTAATCCTTACCCAAGGATATTTTTTCCATTGATTTTTAGAGTGAATGGAAGGGAGGGAGGGAGGAAGGGAGGGAAACAGAGAGGGAGGGAGAGAGGGAGGAAGAAAAAAACAACATTGATGTGAGACATGCTCAACCACTGAACCACACTGGTTGGGCTTTTTATAGACTTTTGAATCAGTTTGTCAATTTCTATGAAAATATCCTTCTGAGATTTTGATTGGGATTGCAGTTAATCTAAAGATAAGTTTTTAAAAAAAGATAAGTTTGAGAAGGATGGCCATCTTAACAATCAATATTAATTCTTCCCATCCATGAACATGGTATATTTCATCATTGACTTGGGTCTTTTAAAATTTCTCCCAGCTGCATTTTGTAGATTCCAACAGGACCATTCTCTGAAAGAAGAGATGACAGGATTTATGAATGGATTGGATGCGGGAGGGGAGAAAAAAAATGTGGAGAGCAAAGGTAAATGCCAAGATTTCCTTCTGAGTCACTGGGTTTAGATGAAAAAGAAAGCAACTTGCTCCAGGCTAACCACCAGGGGTTTGGCCTCAGTATACTTGACCTCAGGGCCACTTGCATGCAAAGACCTTCTGAAACCCAGCTCTCCACACCCTCCCACCCTGGGGACACTCTGAGCCTCAGGGCCAATTAGTGCCAACATTCCAGGAGGAGGTGACACAGAGTAGCTGACACCTTCTCCCATGAGCCTGCAAAGACCTGTTAGTTCTTCCCTCTCCTGCAGGGCCATCTGCCCTTCCCTGCTCCGGTGGGCCAGGTGGGTCTGCTATAAGAAGGATTCTTTCACCAAGTAGTCTCCTGACTGGCCTCTGTGGGTCCGGAAGCCCCTCCCTCCCTCCCTCCTGGTCCTCCCGGGCTCCTCAAGCTAATGAGACCTGCCCTGATTCCCCAGCCAGGCTGCTGGCCTTAATCTCTCCCAGCAGGAGGTTCGGGGGAGGCAAGAAAGACAGGGCCCCTGATGGTGAGACACAAGGTCCCAGCCACAAGGCAGGATTACCATGATCTCACGCACGTATGTGTGGGCGAGCATGTGTGTGTGAACGTGCGTGTTTGGGTGTATGGGGAAGTAGAAGAGACTCATGTGGGGACCAGGAGTTCAGGGAGATATTCATATCCAAAGGGGGAGACAGAGAGGGGGACAGAGAGAAGAAAACAGAGGGCCATCGAGACAAGGACAATCAGAAGTGCAGAACGAGAGAGGTGCCTAGATAGGGAGAAAGAAATGAAGAGAGCCCGGCCGGTGTGGCTCAGTGGTTGAGTGTCGACCTATGAACCAGGAGGTCACAGTTCGATTCCTGGTCAGGGCTCATGCTCGGGTTGTGGGCTCAATCCCCAGTGTGGGTGGGACATGCAGGAGGCAGCTGATCAATTTCTCTCTCTCTCTCTCTCTCCCTCCCTCCCTCCTACCCTCCCTCCTCTCTGAAATCAATAAAAATAAAAAGAAATGAAGAGAAAGTTAGAGAAAGAGGACAAGAATCAGAGGAAGAAGCAGGGAAGAGAGAAAGACACAGGAAGAGAGATTGGAGCTTAAGAGGTTGGAGCAAAAAGGATCGAGGTACTGAGGGTGGACTGGAGTTACAGGGAGAGGTGGACAGGCATAGAGACACAGGGGCGGAGAGAGACAGATGCACAGACGCCAAAACCAAAACACAGACAGACGGAGTCACAGAGAGAAAAATAGAAGGAGAGAAAGAGAATAAGAGAGACCAAGACAGGAATGTAGGGTAAAACCGATAAAGTTAAGGGACAGACACAAAAATGGAGAACGAGAGAGGGACACACAGTCAAACTGGCAGAGGTATCCTCTGAGGCCCAAAGAAAAGAGAAACTGAGGCACAGAGACCCCAAACAAAGACCGTTGACATGGAGGGAAGGCGGGAGGGAGAGAGAGAACAAGCAAGTGTGAGAAGTTGATGTCTGGAGATGAAGACAGGAACGTCAGCGACGAGAGTGATGGGGGCTGAGGCCAAAAAGGGAAACAGAGGCAGAACAGGAGTGCAATGGAGCAGAGCAGAGGCAAATTCTTCGGCAGAGAGACTGCTGGGAGAGAGGGGTCACCCAGGAGAGGGCCCCAGAAAGCCCTGCTTCCTCATTTTTCAAACGGCCTCTCAGGAATCCCAGCATTTTCCTCCTCTTTCACCAATGGGGCCTAAGGAAGAACTTTCCCGAGAAGTGGGGGCTCCTGGTCACAGGCAGGAGCTGGGGCCCCCCTTTCCCTTCAGCCCTAATTGCCAAGATGTCACGGTGGGGAGAGGAGGGGATTAGGCAGATGGGTGCCCCTCCCCCTCCCAGCCAATGTCACCTCCCGGGGCCCAGTCCCCCTCCCGGGGCCAGGATTACCCTCCGAGATCCAGGCCACATGGCCAATGACATCACTGCCAGCCGGGGCTTAAAGTCTCCCCGTGTGAGGGGACCCGTCTCCTTCAGCCTCTGCCATCTGACAACTGTCCTGGACGTGACAACTGTCCCTCTGTCCTGGAGGTGAGTGTCTGCGGGAGCACCGGAGGGGATGCGGACGGGCGTGAGAGCGGGGACAGAAGCGGGCAGAAGTCCGGCTCATTGTATTCCAGGCTGTCTCCATGTCTGATGGCAGAATCCCACGTGGAACAGAGGTTGCACCTGACGGTGGGGGACCCCGCTGGGTTGTGACTGCAGCAGGAGAGAATGAGGGTGGATGGGGCGGCGGGGGCCGGGGGGGCATGGCTTGGGGACACTGGAGGAGTCAGGGGCAATGACACCACTGAGCTCTCTCGGTTCCCAGGGCTGGGGCCTCTCGCCCCGCTTGACGGCACCTAGCGCACTTCCCTGTGGTATTTTCTTTAAAACTCCTCACTGCCTGAAACTTCCTCATCCTTTGTGCATTTGTCCACTGACCGCCTGTCTCCCCACGGAACCTGGGTTCCCTCCCATGCCTGGCATGTGCTGGGGATGCCTAAGTATTTGTTGAATAGATGGATGAGTGACAAGTAGAACTGAGGCCACACAGAGGGCCAAGGTTTCGGGGCTACAGGAGGGAGGGAGGGGAGACTGAGAGAATGAATGCCCAAGGGGCCTGGGAAGGGGACGATTTGGGGGTCACAGTGCTGGTGAACTGCTTACGTGGGGACCTCACTGCGCCCAGAGGCTCCGGCTTTCCCAGGTTCCGTCTCGGGTGGTGGCCCATGCACCTCCAGTCCTGGTCCCACGGACGGAGGAGCTCACGGGCCATGGAGATCAGAAGAAGGACCTGGAATGAGGCTAAGCTGGGGGAGTCCTGCGAGGCTGACGTGGAGCTCTTGAGTCTGGGAGGGAAGCCTGCCCTTTCTCGCTGTGCAGTCTTGGGCCCTTCACGTGCCCTCTCTGGGCCTCAGTCAGATGAGCCACGGCAAGCCCATGTCACTGGCCTCATCCTGCTTTGGGGGAATCCCGGGTAGATTTGAGGGTCAAGGGCAAGGCTCTGGCGCCTGAGCTCTCTGGGTTCTGTTCCTGGCTGTGCCAGACACACCTTGTGTGACCTTGAGAATGGGCAGAACCACACTTAGCCTCAGTTCTCTCATTGGAGAATTGAATGTCTGAGCTCCGTGGGGTGGTGGTGAGTGTCCTAAGAGGCCGTGTAGCTTGGAGATTGGGAGGGCGCAGGCTCAGGGGACAGGCGCTGGCTCTGCACTGGCTCTGTTGCCGACCTGGGAGATGGGACTGGGACTCGCCTCTAAGCCTGTTTCTCCCTCTGGGACGTGGGATGATAACGATGTTTTCACTGGATTATTGTTCCCAAGATCTGTTCTGAGGCCCTGGCTGCAGTGTCCGAGCCGTTGGGCACCCCAACTGGAGGTCGCCTGGTTGTGGCTGCTGGACCTGGGGCGGGGGGGCCCTTCCTCCCCACCCTCAGGCTCAGTTTCCCCGCCTGTAGAATGGGATGATCTCCATGAGTCCCCACAAGGTGGGCATGAGCCTCCAGGCTGCACCTGTCAGAGCACCCGCCCAGGTAGGAGCCTGGACCCAGTGGCTGCTGAACACCAGGAGCCCCGAGCACCCACAGGTGGGTCCCCAGGGCAGGGACAACGGTCTCCCTCTTCTTACTCTTTGGGATCCTGAAACATCGTGGTCTTGAAGTTCACCCGGCAGGCTGGTCACAGGGCTGCTGCCTGGCTCGTGTAAGTTCTAACAAAAGGCGAATGTTGTTGTCTGAGCTCTGTCAGGCCTGACACAGCCTCCGGCCAAGTGGCAGCTGAGGGAAGCAGCCCTGGCATCCTGAGAGCATCGGCTGCCTCATTGCCAAACCCAGAGTCTTCAATGCGTGCCCACTACTATTCTTGTTGTTATTATTTTTTTGAATATTTTATGTATTGACTAGAGAGAAGAAGAAGGGAAGAAGGGAAGAATATATATATATTGATTGATTTCAGAGAAGAAGGAAGAGAGAGAGAGATAGAAACATCAATGTTGAGAGAATCATTGATTGGCTGCCCCCTGGATGCCCCCCACATTGGAGATCGAGCCAGAAACCCAGGCATGTGCCCTTGATTGGAATTGAACCGTGACCTCTTGGTTCATAGGTCCACGCTCAACCACTGAACCACGCCGGCTGGGTAGTTCCACTTAGTTATGCATTCATTGGCTGATTCTTGTCTGTGCCCTGACCGGGGTTCGAAGCCACAACTTGGCATATCAGGGAGGCACTCTAACCACTGAACTACTGGGTTAGGGCTTGTTGTTATTATTCTTTGCTCAAATCTTGTCCGCTGTCTGAGGAGTGGGCAGACCCTACGTCCTGGAGGTCATTGTCATTATCAGCTGCTTGATGGGGAGTGAGGCTCACATTCCCTACCCACAGGATGGAATCCCAGGCTTTCCGGAAGGCCAGCCGCTGGCACGATAGCCCGGCAAGGATTCCAGGGCGAAGACGCTGGAAGTAGATGCTCTTGTTCTGGGCCCAGCAAATTGTCCGGAACCGGACACGTTCATGATTCTCCGTGTTTCCACTCTCTCTGGAGGTTCCGATGGAACATCATCGCTCCCTGGAGAAGAGAGAGAGGACACA